GAGAGTGAGGATTTCATTTTTGGACTGATATATCATTTTAATTTTGGAGAATTATTGCATGAATAAATAAAAGCTTGCTACTTTGTAACATCATCTGGTCAACTTTGACTTGTTGCAGACTTCAGGAGGATCAGTAAACCATTATTAACTTTAGATTATGCTTTATAATCTAATAGGGTGATTATAATCACAAAAATAACTTCTTAATTATACAAAAAAAAAGAAAAATTATTAATTTACAAGATAAAAAAGAACATATAAATGAAAAACAGTTTTGTTTGTTTTTTTGCTATAAAAATCTAAGTTATAAAGAGAACAATGAAAACAAAATATATGTTCAAAAGATGCATTCATATTTCATTCATAGAAATTCGATTCTAGATGCTCACAAGATTAAAATAAATCCATCAACATCTTTTAATCACTGATATAATAGTAAAAATAGCATCAGCAACCACTGTGTTTTGTTTTTTTATAGGGGATTTTTGTTAACACATAGCTATACTTCATCATTATTAATTTTAGTATCTAGTATAATTTCTGCAGAGAATCTCAAAACCCCAGACTTGATGATCATAGTTTTTCTTCTCTACTGTCGCTATAAGCATGCTTAGTGTGAGGGATTGCATTCGAGTCAATAAGTCGATGCAATCAACTGGTTTTCGTTAGATATAAAACTTAGAATCAATTTGACTAGATGATCTGGTGAACTGTAAAGTGCCTTGAGATGACATGTGTTGTGAATTGCCGCTATAAAAATAAACTAAACTGAATTGAAATCACAAAGAAAGATCAGATACTCTGTTCTTAGAGCGCTGAGTAAATCAAGAAGTAAAAATATTATATATAACCTCAAATTCTGTAATTGTACTCTTGTTTTTCCTTTTTCTTGTATTTTAGTCCTTATGTCCACTTACTACACACTAAGTAAACTCATTCTTTGAGACAACACACTGCGGGCACAGAGCCACAGAAAGATGCCATGTCAGAGAGCTGTTCTGAGTTTTACTCATGACTAATGGGCTCACTAAATCACACACTAATGGGCCTGGAAACATGTTCGGACACCGGCCCAGGGGCCCGCAAACACACATACCAAGCAGCTCCGTAACACAATCCAAATTGGTGCTTACTGAGAGAAGGACAGGAGATGGATTGAGATAATTACAGCCTAAATGAGCTGAGGTGTGTGTGTTCACGTCCCATGCACAGGTGTGTGAGCCTCCTGACTTTGGTGTGTGCTTTGCTGTAGGTAAACACGATTTGGCTTCCATTCACATTGAGAAGAAATGGAAAAATAATGAACTATTGATCAGAGCCACCCCACTCATAGAAAGGAAAATAAAAACAGACATGCTGTAATACGTTAGCAGAAAGCACCAGAACAAACAGATTTCTGTGTGGGCATGTGTGGCTTGAAGGCTCAGGTTCACGTTGGGCTGAAGTTTTCTGATTAACGTCAGTGATGCCAGTGAAAACAGGAAGGAAACTGCAGTATTTAAGACGAGAGAAAACCAACATCTGCAGGCGGTGGACAGCTGTTTGTTCAACAAACACGCCAAAGCTGTTTTCTAACTGCGGCAAGAGCTGTTAGAACCGAGCCAGTTTTTGGAGGGTGTGGTACTGCCCTCTGCTGGAAAAGCAGAGAAGGTACAAGCCCCATTTAGAAAAAATGAAAAATACTGCAATACTTAAGATAACCTAAGACCATTGGACATTTCAGTTTTTCTTTTTAAAACATTTGCAAAAATCTCTACATTTCTGGAGGGGTTTTTCCCTGTCAAGTTGGGGTGTTAAGCATATATGAATGAGAAATAAGTTTTTGATTTTAGCAAATACCTGCAGTGAAACAAAGAGTGAAAAATTTAAAGGGGTTTGAATACTTTTTTTACCCACTGTAAATAGAGTTTGTATTTTGGCATTTTTCTGACCTGAAACCACCTAATTTCAGAGTTTTACTTCAAGCTTATAATGGTGGCTACAGTTGAACATTTTATGCACTGCATGTCCTAGTGCCTCATGTGCAAACATTTCGTTTTTGTTTAATTTTTTAAAAGTATAAACAACAAGAAAAAAAAAACACATGACTATACCATTGTGTTTCTATATATTTTGGAGTATATAAGCTATATTAGCTGCTAGATACTTAAATACAAGAATTAGGCAGAGTAAATATTAGCAACTTAATGATGCCAATAGTACAAAAAAGAAAAACAGAAAATGCTCCTTGCATTTTTTTTGGCTAAATTTGACTAAAACAAGAATCTGTTGTTTTGTCTAAATCTGATGCAGCTTCTCATTGCAAAAGATTTTTTCACTCATTTAGCAACCCCCAGAGTATTTCAGATCATTTATTTTCGAACTACTGTCATGCAGAAATGATAAGAAGACATTTTTATTAAGTCCAAGTCTAGTTTGAGATCTTCCATTACAGATTAGAGTTAAATCTTAAATCTCCAAGGACATAAATTAACTTTATTTCAATAAACCCCAAATATCTATGTCACTTCTTTTCCTGTGTTGCTGAACCTTGGGCATCCAAACATGTGCTGTTATTTCTTAAGCCTAAATTTCCATATTACGCATTTAATAATTCAAAATAGAAGTTTCAGTTTTTTAACTTTTTTTTATCTGATAAAGGGTGATTTTTATCAATTAGAATTTTTTTATATATTATATATAATTTTATATTATATAATTTTATATTATATATATATATATATATATATATATATATATATATATATATATATATATATATATATATATATATATATATACATTTTCCCCCCCCAATCTTTAAACAGAGGGAAAGATGTGCTTTTAGTTTGATATTTTCAGTCAAACGTTTCCTTCACAGTTTCCTCAGGAGTGAGAGCACATCTGAGGGAAGCTTTCTAAATCACAAAATAGAATTTACCGGTAATGCAGTTTTATTAAGAGATACATTCATGGTGTCATTGATAAAAGGCTACAAATAACACAAAGATGTTATTAGGAGTCATTATTAGCTATTATTCCCCACTGGGAACTGGATTATAATGACCCACCTCATTGTTTGACAGTAAAATATGAACAGCAGCTGTGATCTGTAGCTCAAATACCAGATAACTTTCAGCTACTTTAGTTTTATATGAGGTTATATGTCATATAACTCTATTAAGGGTACATTTTAAAGTTTTTACAAATTCGTTTTTAGAATCAGGATAAAAAAATTACGTATAAATCAAAGCATTCAGATTAGGAAATACTGTTAACAGCAGGAATTTTTATTTGGATGTTAAGATTGGAGCTCCATAAGTCCTGCCCTAAAACATCTCTACATGGGAACCTCTATGCTGAGAAACGTAAACTAAACTAAAACACTGGAGGGCATATCAGTAGTAAACAATATTTTGTGTACTTAACTGTTTCATAAGAGGTGGAGAACAGTCTATTAGTGTGTCCTAAAAACATCCATCTGATAGACCCTGGGAATATTGTTGAAGCATAAAGCCTGGATCTTTGATAGAACAAGTAGAAGCAGGAGTACAAACTGTACAAATTAGCGTTTCTCATCCCTCTCAATAGTCTGCACAGGAAACCAAAACACTTCCAAACACTACCCGTGTAATGATATTTTAAGTGTTGGCTAAACCTGCACATTGTAGAGGGGATTTTCTTATGCCATCTGTTTATCGTACCTCTTCCTCCTGTAAACAGGTACCTACCTGGAGCACAGTCCAGTCCCATGTTACAGTGAGTCCACGCCGATTCACAACTGATCTTCTTTTTCCTGATGAATTTTTCCTTTAGAGAAATTTCTTATTTAGAGAAAACACCCCCTTGGAACTATTAAACCTATTTTTAGCTGGATAGTTAACCACCAATTCTAATTCTATATACTGTAATTTTAGGACCATTAAGGTTGAGGTCAGAGGTTAAGGTTAGCTTACTGAGAAAGGTGGTGGCTGCATCATTCTGAGGGTCTGTCTCAATGGTGTAGAATACCTTGATATCATATCATTTGATCAAAAGAGGAATGTCCTATGGTAACATGATCCCAAACACAATTTTGATTTATGCTTAATTTTGAAGCGTGGTCTGCGCTATGTTATATTCCACGTCACGATGCAAGAGGTACAATCAGGAACTAGCCGTGGGTCTAGATATGGCCGAGGCGGTAAGGAAGTGGGGGCAAGTTTGTGCGACTTCGGAGGGACATGAGGGCAAAAAAGAGTGGGGATCCAGATGGAAAAAGGTTCCCAGCGTTCTCGCACACCTCACTCTTCTAACTGGTCCAACTTCACGAATCGTTTTCCGCAATGGCGGTCATACAAACAAAACAAGCCGGCAAGAGGATGTAGATCTTAACAATCAGAAGCCTTCTGTGTGCGGTCACCTACAATTTGGAAAAGGTGCAGCAGAGTGTCTGAGAAAGGGGCGGGGACGTCTTTGCGTTCACTGCGACACCTACGCAGACGACCTAGTTTTGAAGTATAAATCAGCCTTTAGAGTGAATAAAAGCAGGCAACTTAGCTTGTACTTAACCCTGTTTTAAATGTGTAGACTAAAAGTCAGGTCTGCAGCAGAAAACAGACCAAAGAAAATAAATGCTTGGCTGTGAAATCTCTAAACAAGTTTAAACTGCCTAAAAGTGCAACAATCATGATTTAATTAAACTCTGATCAAAAACATGTTCACATTTCCCGACACAAAAAGTGTCCCATTTCTTACCAAAAATATTATGAAATTTATCCACACAACATTTCAGGTCTGTAAATCAAATTTAGCCTGTGTTTATAATCCTGACTAAGGCGGTTTAAAAAATAATCCAAAATAACTTTTAAATGGTGGATCTAAAGATTCTTTTGAAATGAATTACAGCTATATCAAGTATTATGAAACGGAAGCCCATGATGAGTAATTATAAAACGGTATTTGAATGCATCTGTTTGGTGATTAAATAGTTTACCAGAACCAGCTGCTTAAAAAATCTATTTATAAACATAAAAAAGTACCTTGCTGACTCGAGTCAGGGTGCCGTTAGGTCGGTCTGGGTGCTCCTCATCAGACAGCCGCCCGCTCCCAAAGCTGTCCATCGAGTGGGATGAAATGGTGTGGCAGAGCTCCTCGAAGGAATAGTCCCTGTCTCTGCACTTCTTGATGTCATGGAACAGTTTGGACAGCTCACTCGTCACAGGATCATCTGTTGGAGGGAGAGAGAAATATTAACACAGTAAAGGCCTTTAACCGTACATGGGGTCAGTATGAAAACAGATAAAATATTGTACTAGAGTTACAAGAATCATTTTCTCTGTCTTTTGCAGGTCAATTAAAAGCAAATTATCCAAGTCTTTAAATAATTGAAGTACTTTTAGTGTCTGGAATCAAGAAGAGCTGACCAGGTACTAAAGTTGTTATGTCATATCTCTAACACAGGGGGCAGTGTTGGACAGGGTTAAAGCCACACAGAAAGTAACTTCTCTCCTCTAGATAACCTGAATTTATATGACTAGATAACAAAAATAGAAATACATTTTGAATATCCAGCAACCTGAATGACATTAGCATAAATATCAACTATTAAAAAATATATATCATTAATGATAAATGTATGCTTTAAAATACAATAAGATAATCAATGCATGAGGCCAATCAGGCAGTACCTGCTGTCACCCTAATCTAAGCATTTTCACAGCATAAGAATAGATTGGAAACAACAGTTAGTTTGATTGGGGTTGTTTTCTAGTTATAATAAAACACATTTCCTCTTTAAAACATGCCAATTTCCACCTCAAACACTCATCATCCTACCCTCTTCTTTACTACTCTAAACAACTTAGCTGTAATAAATTGGCCAACATTTCAAAGTGATCCTTCAGTCTTTTGTGCATCTATTCAGAAGAAACAAATCATGCAGCTTTTACTCCTTTGTCACCATCTGGTCAAATCTCTCTGCAGACCAGGCAGGGAAAGCCTTTAAAACTGAGCCATTGTGCTGTGTGTTAAAAAGAAATCAGCTTTACAGCTTGTGTGATGCGGAAAGTAAAACCACACATTTCATTTGAGATAAGCTGAACCACGTGTTACAAACCTTTGCAATCTTACTCTGATAAATTCTAAGAAGCGCTCTGCCAGTTTTTTAAAAATTGCTCAAGACTGTTTTTTCTCACTGTACATTCTGCAAATTTAGATTTTGCATGCATTTGATATCCTTTATAACATTAAGAAATCCACTTACAGCTCTCAAAAATCAGTTGCCACCCTTAGATGTCTAAAGATACTGTTTTAAGGTGTAAACATAAATTCACTCTGAAAAAAAAAAGTCATACATAGTTACAATTATTCTGTGGACCAATCATTTCTATTTTGATAATTATTAGCAAAATATGGACAGTCAATTTTATTTATTTTCTAATAAAAAGGAATTTTTAAGGAACCTCAAATGAAAAATCTAAAACTTTGTGACAAATAAACCAATTTCCCCAGCCACTCTATTACAGAGATTTAGCGGACCACGGTCCGGATCCAGACCCACCTGCTGGCTAATCCAGACCCAACCTAATTTAAAACAATTATAAATTACTGCGTGTTGTCCGACGACAGTGTCTAACTTTACTTGCGCTGTTTCTCCTGTTAATATGATAAAGCCACCGGGACCAGGCTGCACGTGACACAAATTAGCCAATGAGCTGCTGTCAGTCTGGGTTGCTGCTGCTGCTACTTTTAGACACAGCAGGCAAACCTGTGGCAAGCCGGGCGATGGGAGAGAAGGAGAAGATGATGAGAAAAAGAGAGCAGAGAAAGTTTGGACTGCTGAAAAAGCTGCAGTGAACTGGTGAAAGAAAAGTTAAATGGTGCTCAAAGATGACCCTGTACATTTAGAGGATGTTTGCCTCAACCTGCTGCTGTGGATTCTCCACCATGAAGAGAATCAACAATAAATATGGATCCAGGCTCAAAATGAGCACCTTGATATGTGCTTTAAAATGTTTTTTTCTCCTTTCAAACCCAGGTTTAAACCATGCAGGGCAGCATAAAGCCCACTGCTCTCATTAGACCATAAAAAAATGAAAGAAAAAAAAACGATCAGGTGGTTCAGGTGTTTTATAAAATATGTGAATCAGGAAATTGTCTATATTGTTTTCTTCAAAAAACACTTCAGATTTTTTTACTTTTTTTTAATTTAAAAATTCAATGTACAACATGGATGCATTAAAACCCTGCTTTTTATTTCAGTGTTAAATTCTGTTTAAAGTAACAGATTATAATTTAAAAAAATGTCTCCGGACCTTTACTGATTGATGATTTTCTTTATTCGGACCCCGCTGATTTTTATTTGGTTACCCCTGCTCTAGAGAATGGGATAAATAATGAAGCTATGCCAGTCAGTAGCCTGATTTTTTCTTAACTGTAGCCGATTCTCAATTCACAAAAACACAATTATCAACTCTTTTTTCCACCAAATCCGTTCTTGAACATAGGAATTATATACAAGCTGCGAATAGGAGCACCCAGAACAAATCTTTGTCAACTGGAACAATCGTACTTGTGACATCATCGCACACTCAGCTCATCCGGACCTGCATTTCTCCTCCTGTTATCAATAGCATCTAGATCAGGGGTCAGCAACCTGTGGCTCCAGAGCCACATTTGGCTCCTTGCGGCTCACTTTAGCTTGTTCAAAATTTATGAATTTTATTTTTTGTTTGTTTTAATACGGTGTGCAGGAGTTTAAACAAATGTTTTCCAATGCAGTAAAAACTTGCACAATAAATACTTTTAAACAATAAACGTAAACATTTCTTTTAGAGTAAATCTGCATCATAGCCATAGAGATCAGTGGTCATAGTGTGCAACACACAGCGACGGCGCGGTGCCAGGCAAACAACATGGCGGGTGTGTCTCAGACCATGGATCCCAAAGGGGAAAAAAGGTAAATAGCTGACGAGAACAGAGGATTCAAAGAATGGACCGAATCCTTAGCTGTTATTATCAATGCAGAAGGACTGCCTGCGTTTTTGCTTTGTAATGAGAGGTTGTCAAAAAATTAAGAGAGTAATTTGGAGAGGCATTTCCAGGAAGGCATGCTAAAAATGCAGCCGATCACAAAGCTGGAAGTGAGAGAAAAAGTGCGATTGCAGAACTTCTGGATAAATTAGATGAGAGCAAAGATAGATTTAAGAAGTGGATTACATCTCCAAACTCTACTACTGCTGCTAGTTTGGTTGCAAGCATATAAAACGTCCACAAATCGAACAGGTGGCGCTTTGATGACGGTATGTGAACTTTCTTCCATTTTTTTCCCCAAATCCTCAAAATAAAAATATCCCCAAGGAACGCTGGTGAAGGAGGATGTGGGATTCCAGGGTTAGAGAGCTCTGCTCTGATGATGTCAGTTCCTGCTTGGTTTCTCATGACTCAATCAACTCCTCCCAACAGAAACACGCTCGACCAAGGAAAGACTCCTTTATCGTGTTTCTATAATTTCATCAATGCAACAAAACCTAAACCGCGCGGGGAAGGGGGGTGAAGCAGCGCATGGTAAGTGTGTTCACTGCTCCTCCCTCACCTCATGCTACTATATGAAATGTGCTCCAGGATAAACATTTAATCATGAATGCTTATTATATATTTAAGCCCACATACTCCTTTTTTATAGTGGGCTAATACACATAGAGCCCGTGTTGCCATACGAGTCTTATATAAGATTTTTAAATTTTTCCGGCACCAGAAAGATTTGTTTGTTTTTTTGGTCCAATATGGCTCTTTCATCAGTTTGGGTTGCTGACTAGCTTCGTGAGACCATCCTGATCGCGTGAGCTTTCAAGGTTTCACTCGCAGATCAGTCGGGAGACTCTCAGTCAGATAAACACATATAAAATTAATGTTTTGCCAAATAAAACAAAACCCATTAAAGCCAGTGCTACTACGCCGAGAAGAGGTCTAATGGTTGCCACGGTGTTTCCAATAATTTTTTTTTTTTTTTATTACACACTATATCAGTAAATTGGCCACATGGTGAAGCTTTAAAGTATTATTTTCTCCCCTCAAACGATTTGAAAATGTACTTTTGTCAACCAGCAGAACCAGAAAAGTGAATCTTTAAGTTATCATTCTGAGCTACGCAAGCACTCCCTGGAACCCAACTGTTGCATGCTGGGATATACACTATATTGCCAAAAGTATTTGCTCACCTGCCTTGACTCACATATGAGCTTAAGTGACATCCCGTTCCTAATCCATAGGGTTCAATATGACGTCGGTCCACCCTTTGCAGCTAGAACAGCTTCAACTCTTCTGGGAAGGCTGTCCACAAGGTTTAGGAGTGTGTTTATGGGAATTTTTGACCATTCTTCCAGAAGCGCATTTGTGAGGTCGCACACTGATGTTGGACGAGAAGGCCTGGCTCTCAGTCTCCGCTCTAATTCATCCCAAAGGTGTTCTATCGGGTTGAGGTCAGGACTCTGTGCAGGCCAGTCAAGTTCATCCACACCAGACTCTGTCATCCATGTCTTTATGGACCTTGCTTTGTGCACTGGTGCACAGTCATGTTGGAAGAGGAAGGGGCCAGCTCCAAACTGTTCCCACAAAGTTGGGAGCATGGAATTGTCCAAAATGTCTTGGTATGCTGAAGCATTCAGAGTTCCTTTCACTGGAACTAAGGGGCCAAGCCCAGCTCCTGAAAAACAACCCCACACCATAATCCCCCCTCCACCAAACTTTACACTTGGCACAATGCAGTCAGACAAGTACCGTTCTCCTGGCAACCGCCAAACCCAGACCCGTCCATCAGATTGCCAGATGGAGAAGCGCGATTCGTCACTCCAGAGAACGCGTCTCCACTGCTCTAGAGTCCAGTGGCGGCGTGCTTTACACCACCGCATCCGACGCTTTGCATTGCACTTGGTGATGTATGGCTTGGATGCAGCTGCTCGACCATGGAAACCCATTCCATGAAGCTCTCTGTGCACTGTTCTTGAGCTAATCTGAAGGCCACATGAAGTTTGGAGGTCTGTAGTGATTGACTCTGCAGAAAGTTGGCGACCTCTTCGCACTATGCGCGTCAGCATCCGCTGACCCCGCTCCGTCAGTTTACGTGGCCTACCACTTCGTGGCTGAGTTGCTGTCGTTCCCAAACACTTCCATTTTCTTATAATACAGCTGACAGTTGACTGTGGAATATTTAGGAGCGAGGAAATTTCACGACTGGATTTGTTGCACAGGTGGCATCCTATCACAGTTCCACGCTGGAATTCACTGAGCTCCTGAGAGCGACCCATTCTTTCACAAATGTTTGTAAAAACAGTCTGCATGCCTAGGTGCTTGAATTTATACACCTGTGGCCATGGAAGTGATTGGAACACCTGATTCCAATAATTTGGATGGGTGAGCAAATACTTTTGGCAATATAGTGTATGTCATTCTAAAGAACACTCCGTGTTGTGTTCTTTGCAATTGGAACGCCACTGAGGCTGATGACGCATCACGAACACATGAGTATGCATATTGAGAAACGGCCAAAGTCACGTATGAGTGTTTAGCAAAACACTCCAGGGGGGTTAGTGTGAAAAATAATATTTTTTTACACATGAGGCTCACTGTAAAATACAGTTGATGATCTATTACGCTGCGGACTAATTTCATCAGAGTGCTGAGTTCTATGTATGGAAATCTGCAGATTTACATATGTAGAAGATAAGAAATAAGCTGAAAATTTTCCTATAAATTGTTTTAATCAGAGATTTCTAAACTTACTTTTATGGTGGAGGGATGGCGAGGCAGGAGGCGAAGGGATAGAGATCCGAGGCGCTGGTACAGGACATATCCGGACATGATCTTCTAAAATACTCCGTCCCTCCATCTCATTCTTCATGTACTCTACACACATCGATACAGGGTGGGAAAAAGAAGGAGGTCAATAAGAGAAAAAACAAACGTCTAAAAGTGACTGTGATGGAGGAGCTGCACTGGGTGACAGAAACCATTTCAGTTGTTTTCCTGGATCAATATAAGAGAGCAATCATCTGCATGGAAAACAGCCTGAGCTGCATTCAATTCACACCTTTCCAAAAAAAAAAAAATCACTTCACAGCTTCTGCTAGCAGAGCTGTCTACAGAGCAGAGGAGGGACAGAGTTGGAAAAAAGAAGCTCCACTGAGAGAGGATGAGACAGAGATTAATCAAGGCCTTTATCATTATCACAATTACATCAAAATTAGCAGCCAATTATGAAAACGTGGTGAAATGAGGTTGTTGAGTCCCTGTTATTACAGAGCTCTGGTAATATGGACAGATCTCCACAGTTCTGATGCAGAGATGAGTCACAAATAAAAGGCATAAAATGCTTGGTCATGTTTTATTTTAGCATTTGCCATAGATTCTCTATTACCAGCAGAAATCATGCAGAATCCAGCTAAATACAGCAAAATGACAACTAGTTGCTGACAGGTAATTGAAGTAAAATTGTTGAAAGATTTATTTCCATCAAATCAAGCGAGAATCACTCCTAACAATGTGCCAGAGACGCAGCCTCAGCTGCTGCAGACTCGATGCGTCTGCATGTGTGTGTCCTTCTCCATCTCCTCTCCAACAGGAAATGGCTTGCAGCTGATCCTTTCACCCAACCACAGCTGGGCCCCCTCTCGCCCTTTCTTCCTTCCTCTAATAAACAAACACATTACGCCTCCCGTTTATGCTGATGCCCAAACGGCTTTCCACCTCTGGCTTGGAGAGATTGGAGTTTGATGGTCAAAGTTTCTGACAAGACGTAGACTAGTGTTCTTTTTTACATTAAAAGGCCAAAATCCCTCCCAGCGGATTCATTTGTTTAACATTAGTGCTGGACTAGAATTTATGAGGAGGAAAATTAGTACCCCGGAATTTAACCCTGAGAAATACCACAAAGACAAATTAAGAGTCATGTAAAATGATCAGCTTTAGATATTTATCTATGTATTATCTAAAAACCCATCCACAAAAAACATGTTTGATCAAATATGTTTCTTTGTTCAATCTTTATACAGTGGAATCCGCTTATAGTGTTCAAAAGGCGTGGGACAGAATCATTTCTATACAAATGCTGTTTAAATATTTTGTTTATAGTAAGTCTTATATATGACTTTTACATTTTTTCCAGCACCAGAAAGATTTGTTTATTGTTCTTTGGCTCTTTGAACAGTTTGGGTTGCAGACCCCTGCTCTAGATAATAATCAACATTACCCTAGTAAAAGAAAATAACTCACAACTTATTAACACAGTCAGATAATTATATAAAAAAGGAAAGTTTTGCCAAATAAAACAAAACCCCCCCAAAAAAAGATGCTATCAGAACCAGCGGTAAAATGCAGAGAAGACTACTGTAGCCGTTAGTAGTTAGCCTCAGAGGTCTAATGGTTGCCACGGGGTTTCCAATGATTGATTTTTTTTTATTACACATTAAATCAGTAAATTGGCGACATGGTGAAGCTTCAAAGTATTATTTTTTCGCCTCAAACCTTTTCAAAATGTACTTTTGCCAACCAGCAGCAGCAGAAAAGTGAATCTTTAACTTATAATTTTGATTTATCCATGAACTCCCTGGAACCCAACTGCTGCATGCTGGGATAGTAATTATAGTACTGTTATTAATTAACTATAGTAATCCAGAAATCGGCCTATAGTGTTCATTTTTGGCCATTTTATGAATGTAAATGTGCATAAATATTTAATAAGTGGATCAAAAGTGATGACAGAGCCCCGGTGTGAGAGCCTGTGACGGATGACATCATTGCGGAGGTACAAGAGTGCTCCGATGCAGGCAGCATTGCTGCGCGCAGCGAGGAGGGGGAGGAGGAGGAAGATGTGGAGACTGTTGTCCCTTCCAGAGCTGACATGAGGAATGCAGTTTGCATTTTAAAGACTGGTCTCCTGCATGTTAGTTTGAAAAACTTTGACCTTTTACATCATTTTGAAAAAGAAGTGAACACTGTGTTTGACAACACTCTGATCCAGGGAACCATGGACAAATATGTTAAGGGATCTCAGCAGATCACAAACACAAAACAGACATAGCCTACCTTTAATTTTATGTAGCCTATGCAGGTACCTTCTATGAAATTGTTTCAAACTTCATACTTGTTAAAAAAAAAATGCGGCACCAGGCTACCAGAGTTATGTCTGCCCACAGCGCAGTATAGTGTAATTAAATGTGCATGGTACTGTAATAAAATTCAGTAAATGCGGAAGCTATCAAATTGGCTCTGGACCAACGTGACCACTATAAGCGGATTCCACTGTATTGATAAACAAATTAAAGATGCAACACCACTTCCCACCATTAATGGAAGTTGTGTGATAACCCATAAATTATTACTTGAGTCCTGTTTTTGTTCAACTGGAGAACATTTTAGAACAATCATGCATTTTTTTTTTTTTATACTTTTATGCAAATCTTGAATGGGCCCACAATCTCATTGTAATGTAGAGCTGTGTGTCATCTGCATACAGTTGTTAAGGAGAAGTTGTTTGGCAGATAGAGGGAGCATGTAAATATGCAATGGGAGGGGCCCAAAATAGAACATTGGAAAACCCTGAATGTTGTTTTTTTTATGTGGTCTCTGTTAAGAACAAAAGCCAGAAAATGTTTCATCTTAATGTGTCTAAAGAAAAGAGGCCTTTTTACATCATAACAATAGGAAATTTTACAACAATCCAAATTTTACTCTTTATCTATGGTAGCAGTTGTCCACTTTATGGAGGACCTGGGCACAGGGACAGCAGACACCCTAATATATCCTCAAGATCCTCTCGAGGAAACCTGAACGTTCAAACTTCAGCCTAGTGTCACAATTCCTCCAGTTTGTCACTCCATTTTCTGGTGAGCTGTCTATAATCTCTTGGAGAGATGACCAAAGGACAATGAAAACAAATGCCTGAGCCACTTTAATCGAATTGTATGGATGTGAAAGAGAAGGAGCTGTACTCTGAGCCACTTGGATTGCTGAGCTGCTTTCAGTAATGAGATGTTCCATTGGTTGCATCGCCATAGATATTGCTCCAACTATTATTTTAGCAACAGCTGAACTAGTTTTTAAATACTAGCCCAGGCTGTGACTGGCTGGATGTGCTCTCTTCATCCTCGGACATGGGAGTTGGCTCGGAGCTCGTCTGCCTGGCTGTGTGTTTCCTGGATGTTGCCGCCTTTTACAGCTGCTTTCTGTATCTCTGCTTCTGTCTCCTTGAACCCCAGTCGGCCTCAGCAGATGGCCGCTCACACTGAGCGAAATTCTGCTGGAGGTTTCTTCCTGTTAAAAGGGAGTTTTTCCTCTCCACTGTCGCTACAAGCATGCTTAGTGTGAGGGATTCCATTTCAGTCAATGAGCCGATGCATCAACTGGTTTTCCTTAGATAGAAAACTTTGAATCAATTTGACTGTATGATCTGATGAACTGTAAAGTGCCTTGAGATGACATGTGCTGGTAATTGGCGTTATATAAATAAACTGAATTGAAATTGAATTATTTCTGAACTTTATTTAAAAAAGGGCAAACTCATGCTTTTAAAGTCATTTTCTATAAAACAAAGACACATACCTTAAAACTGGCTGACAAATGAACCAGATGCTTTTATTTAATTTGTTTCCTGCCTCTCATACGTGTTACTTCAAATCTTTCTCTTTCATTGTGTTTTCCTGCTTAACTATCAGTTTTGCTGCCAGCTCATCAGATTCTCGGAGCTCAGCTTCTCTGTTTTTTCACCTCCTAATTAAACCTCGTTTGTGGTTGATTTTGGCTCCCACACATGCTCTTCAGACAGACATCTCTCTGTTTCTATATGCATTTATCTATTTTACTTTAAATTAGCGATGATTATGTGCCCAATATATACACCCGTTAGCCTCCACAATGACAGAGCGAGACGGCCTCCAGGCCGCACGATTATAGCTTTTTAATGCACGTCTTTAGAAGATGTATTTTTTGGACTGCAGAGAAAATTCACACTAGCAATCAATGGTTAAACACAAACATGTATGAAAGCAAAAAGGGGAATTTTAAAGGATAGTTGAAGAAAGAACAACTCAGAAGTAAATCTTTTTTTTAAAAACCAGAGGACAAATTAATGCCCCACCAACCTCTGGATTTCAATCAATCAAATTGTGGCTAAACTAATATAGCATCAGCTTCAAAAATAGTTTTTTAAACAATATTTTGGCTTTTACAACATATTCTGCCTGAAAAAGTTCACACATTTTACTGCATAACATTTTAATTGTCGAGAAAATTTGTCAAAGAATCTGTTGCTACAAATAGTCATACACCTTTACACCGTAAAGCCCATCAGGACTCAACTGCAGAACAATCTTTTTTTACCCCATTTTCACCACAGAATGACAACCCTTATGACGACTTTTAAGGGCTTATATTGCAAAATACCCTACAGTGATTAGTAAAACTAGAACTTTCCCTGTAGATGCCATCTATGACTGAGAAACATGGTCTTGGCAGCATTGTGCGGTAAAAATGGTTTTCTTCAGCAAGGCCATGTCTGCATCACAAAAATAATCCAATCTCACTGGCAAAAGACTAAAATTTAACCAGAAATATAACTGTAGGTGTAAAAAATGTAAAGCTGACACGGAGGCTGAACATTTCTAAATATAGAGCAACATGGCAGAAATGTACCGGTATTTTCCCAAAGTGGGACCATAAAGGATTTTTTCTATTTCTAAACCATATTCTGTGTAATAAAGATAAATTTTAATGTTTTCCATTCATTGCATAATTATAAAAGTATAAAACGTTTGCTCCCTGTTGGACATTTTGAGTGTAAACATGAGAAGAAAGCCACAGCTTCCCAGTTTCCACCAAGTTTACAAATGTTATTGATCATTAAAAAACAAATTATTTCCATCAGCATCTAAAAATGGTTTGAATTGAAAAGCATGAAATTATTAAAACTGTGTTGAATAATGTAATTAATGCTGTATTGTTTCTGAGGGTCACAAAGGCTGCTTGTTCAGCACCAGGCTACCTTTGTGTTTGCTGCCTTCTGCTCATGTTTCTAATGATGTGAAATAAACCAGGTGGTGTTAAGAATGTGAGGTATGTTGCAAACTATGAGGTGAAAATATGATCTACATCAGGTAATAATTACCAACTTCAGCCCGACATACATTGCTTTTACACAATCATATAATTTGCTTTAGTTATAACCATTTACTCTTATGCAAAGTCAGTTAACCCGTTTTCTCTGTTTATAAAATTGTTTGTGTTCACCTTTGTGCATGGTGCCAGTAACAACTCTTCTTGCATTAGTGTAGTGCATCACAGAGAAGCCTAAACCACATAACCCCTGCCCCACTTAAAAAGTAAACCAATCCTCTGTGGTTGATGCATTGTTTTTCACTGTATTTTAAATAGATCCTAAATAGTACTGCCTTGTCTGATTGTGATTTTAAACTCACTGATTCTCACTTTGCACATTCCAACACCTCACTGATAGCATCTTATAGCTGCTACAAAACAGCCTACAAGACAATTGAAGAAATGTGAAATGAATGCGACATTGTGGGGATTTGCTCAGTTTCCTGGAAGAAAAACAAATGAGATTTCTCAGCTGGACCACATCCACTTCCAAAGGTCATGGTGTCATATTTGCCAGTATGTTGCTCTGTGGCTCAATATGTTCACACCACTCAACAAATTCAATCAACTGTCACCTGCAGCCAATAAAAAGCAAACAGCAGCCAGTGATCTCTGAGCAAATACAAGTAAAAAAAGAAAAACTTTGCAGTTGTGACATCTAAGGCATTTTTGAAGCCAAAATCTACACCTAAACCTAGAAACCGTTAACAGACACTTCTTTATTTTCTATAGAACAAATCAGGATATCTTTCTCTTATGTTTTTCTTACCTTGAATAAGAGCAGTGATCTGCTGAGATTTTGGTGCTGGGTGGTCTCTGAGAATCTCCAGCGCCGTCCTCCCCTGACTGTCTCTTAAACTGGTGTCTATCCCTGAAATTCACAAGCAAAGAAAGTTTGGATTGTGCAACACTTTTTCACAAGAGTAAAACTGATCACACAGTCCTCGATGGAGCCTTATGCCACATTAGATATTGTTAAAGCAAGAAAAGTCGGACTTCAGAGAAAATACTTTGAGGAACTGATTTTTTCTCCATCTAATTTTGACCTTTTTTATTAGAATTCTCAAAAAATACATGAAGAAACGGACTACTACAGAAACGCATATGTGGAAAATCCCAATCCCAGACAATCAAAGACAAGACATTGCAAACTATTTGCGAAAATAATGTACTTTACTATTTAATTTATGTGAAACCACTCATCCTGTGCAAATGCTGAACTTTAATAATCTCTAGTCAGACTCAACCTAAGACAGAAATGATTCTTGTTTTCTATTAATTTCCTACTTTCTGCCTGTTCCACTTTTTTTTTATCATCATCAAACATTCAAACAACCTGAACATGTTTTCTCAAATGAAAACCAAAAATATACGTTTGATTGGGATTTGTGTTTATATATGCAACCTTTATTAATCAAGGTAAATCTCTTTGAGCTTAGAAATCTCTTTTAAATAAAGACCTTGCCAACAATAAAAACTAATATATCAACAAACCCATTCACGGGAAGGGAAACTATAATAACTTGTAATAATAATTTTTAGGGATGCACGATATAATCAACCCCCTATCGGTATCGACCTTAAAACTGAATATCGGACGAAATCCCCCAAAAATTCACGAAATTTTGCCATATTTTTATATGTTGATATATTGACGCGGTATCGATCTATTTTAATAACAAAATCTCACAAGAATTTGCAAAATATCACGAGAGTTTGTAACAGAACGATGAAATTCCACGAGATTTTGAAAGTAAAATAGATCGATACTGCGTTTTTAAAAATCAATTTGATATCAGCATATGAAAATATATTTGAGTATATTATTTTTCAAAGTGTCAGAAATGGATAACAAAACTGCTATTTTCAATGACTACTTATTTTTGTCCAGCTTTGACATCGGTATCGATATCGGTTATCGGCTACATGAGTTTTAAAATATCGGCATATCGGATATCGGCCAAAATCCCAATATCGTGCATCCCTAATATATATACATATTTCTTTTCCTCTATAATCTTTTTGCTGCTGTTAACACCAGAATTTCCCCATTGTGGGTAAATAAAGGGATTTTCTATTCTAGTCTAGTCTATTCTATATTGTCTTTAAAAGATTTTGGTCTGAAATTCGGCACCCTTTTTTATTACCAACAACTGCTAAACACAGGACTAATTCATTTTTCTTAAGTTAGACTCCGCCTACAGGACCTTTTTGAATATAGTCCTTTTGTAAACTGTGCTCCACAGCTGAAGCGCACTGATTCTCTCAAACCTACTAAATGAATATCAACAAAATATCTGTAGAGGTGGCCTGTAAATTATGTACACCAATGTGCAGTCGCCTTTTTGCTGCAAATTGTCACCTTTATAAAAGTCAGTGAAATTTAATAAAACCTCTCATGTAAACCGATGAATTACTCTAATAAGGTAATTCAATCTCTCCATGTTTGATGTTTCAGTATAAAGTCACAACATTAACAAAGGTTAGCACATATGGACCTTACAAGTCCAATAACATTTCCAGGTCTGCATTACTGCATTACTATAACTTCCAGGTCTATATTACTGCTATAGTTGGGCATCAAGCTTTTGTCTGAGGTACTGGTCACCAAGATTCACTCTACTGCAGCGCTGTCCAGGTCCGTTTCACTTTCTCTCTTCCCTCTTAGGATAAAGGTTTTATCTGCGTTACTTTGCTGGCTCTTCCAATATATATACCTCAAAAAATCCAAAAGTGTTCAACAAGCATCTCAGGTAATAACTAACTGGGCCAGAGGCAGCAGAGGGAGATGATGGCCTTTTCGAAACAGGGATTTGTAGGAGGATATATAAGGGTCAAAATGTTACTTGCTTACTTTCCCCATGAAAATGTCCCCAGAGGGTGACCTCTTATCTAAAACCTTCTAATATAGCTCTGGTTTCATGATCAAGGTTGTTGTCCCGCCCAAAGTTGAACCTGGGGTTAAAAAAAGTCTCTACTTCCTGTTAGAACATTTATTATATTCAAAGTTTCAGATACGACAGCACATGACAGCACAGTTTTACAACAATCCAGGATGCTGATATACTGTAAATCCGGCCAAAAGGAACTTGTCCACTTAGAGGAAGTCCTGCAGGAAACTGGGAGCGCTGCAGGGAAGTGGGTGGAAGATGGCAGCATGATCAAAGGACAATACGGTCCAGATAGTACTGCTTATCGTTTCATCATAATGTGGTTTTAGGTGTTTTGACTTTGGCACAAATACACATTTTTACACAACTTTGTTTGTTGTTATCTAATATCTGGATCACATGTCAACATTTTAGGGAGGCTCAACACTAAGGGTCACCTTGTGTCATTTATTACATTTAATCTCCACAGTCCAACTGGGAGATTACTTTAAAAAGATCACATCCTGCTGTTTTGGCTGAAGAGCAAACAGGTATGGAGTGATTATAAAAGCCAAAAATAAATCATTTGGACAGGACTGAGGAATGCAGCACAGTTGAATAAAAACAACACTACAATCTGCAGAAAATAATAAATATGTGGGAAATCTGACTGCAGGTTAGAATAAAAAAGAAAACAAGGGGAACTAAAGCCCATAAAAAGCACACTGGTTTTTTTATTACAGCATATTTATAGACCTACCTGAGTCAAGCAAAAGGCGAACTACATCCATCTTCCCAAAAAGAGCAGCTTCGTGAAGAGCACTCCCATTCTCCGTCTACAAGAAATGGAGAGTGCACGTGTTAATATTCCATAACTTTTACAACTGGGAACACACAGAAATAGATCTGAAGTGAAGTGGCCTGAGAGCACAGCAGAAATCAAAGAAAAGAAGTAGCGATTATAAAGGGTGTAAATTATGTTTTGATTTTATATGACTATTTTTTTCCTCTCTCAGTGGTTAGAAGAAGTCATGCAGGGATTTTACACCATTACATGGGGAATGGAACCTTGTGTAGAAATGTCCCATTTCACTCATTCTAGAGTTCCTGCCTTGAGTATTAATATTACAGGTATGATGCAACAGAACGAAATCAACTTGGAGAGGCAGATGCAGAACAAAAGAGAGAAAAGGCTGCAGATTTTAGTCTTTGTCGTGGCGCTTTGGACAATAATGCTACTGCAACTCATAGTACATGTTAAAATACCTGGAGCCACACTTTGTCATTTCATCAAGAGATGTTGTTGGGTTTTTTTTTTTTATTGCTTCTTTTTCTTAAACTTTTACTCCATATGTAAACAAAACTAGCATGTGGATTGATCAACACGCATTTTACTTATCAAAGGAAAAAAAATGTTACAATTTTTAACAACAAAAACAAACACAAAGTGAAAACAGAACATTTAGGTTACATAAAGAAGAGATCCTATATAGTAATTTTCACTCCCTATCCACATATGTATGAGGTTACAAGGGATATTGAAAAAAAAAGGGTTTTAGTTGATCACATTTAGTTTCCCCTTCTTTAAACTGCCACCTTAATGTGGTGGAGGGGTTTCAATGACTGGATGACCCCATTGGCACCCACTGGGTGAAAGGTCAGACAAAGAGTGGTTTGCAAAGCCCCAATGATAACCAAAAATGCTACAAAAAAAAAAATCGAGACAAGTGACGTCGCCTGGTATGTCGACGTCATAAGGAGCTGGGACCTCACCCAGGCCTGGAGTTGTGATTCGTAGGAGACTGTCTGGTGGCCGGGTTTTTCCTCGTACGACTTCGCCAAGTCCAGCCCGAAGGATTGACATGATGCTATCCCCAGTAGGCTCAGTACCCACAGGGGGAACCACGAGAGACCGGCACAGACTGGGTAAAGACTGGCGGCAGTCAGAGGCAGAAGCAACCCAAATCCATGGCTCTTAGACTGGCTCTGGGGACGCTGAATGTCAACTCAATGACAGGGCAGGGGTTTTGACTGCTCCCCTCTGTAACACAGTAACAAATGGTGGGGTGTAATCAGAAGGAACAGACCCCCAGCTCAAAACCCAAGTGGTATTTCATTATTTCATTATTATTATAATAATTGCACCTCACACAAGAACACCCTTGGCCAGAGGTAGATGATCGAATTTATGGTTGTATCTTCTGATCTTCATATCTTGGACACTTGGGTGAAGAGAGGGACGGAAAAAATTCTCCCAGATTCCAAGGGAGACTGGAGACATCGAGTCTAAGTTAGCCATGTTCTCTCCTTCTGCTAAGGATCACACAAGCCAATAGTAGGCTTTTGTGACTCCCGAGGCAGCAGGCAGGTATCATGAAGCCAAGCGTGCCATTGGCCAGTGTGGTTGCAGAGGCAAAAACTGTAGTCTGAGAGGAGTTTGGAGAGGCCATGGAGTAAGACTATGGGATGGCCTCAAAGCATTATTTCTGGAGGGGAAAACACTGATTTGCTATCATTGTTGACCCTGCTGCTGACCCTGAAAGAGGACATTGTAGGACAGTGGAAGAGATTTGTTCAGTGATTTCTTCATAACTCAGACTGAACATCGCAAGGAGGTCCAGGACAGTGCCCATGGATTGGCAAACTGGGGTGGTGGTTCCTCTGCATAAGAAATGAGACCGGAGGGTGCGTTGCAACTATAAGGGAATTACACTCCTCCCTAGGAATGCCAATGCCAGGGTTCTAGAGAGGAGGTCCGACTGATGGTCAAACAGTGGTATCAGAAGGAGCAGTGTGGTTTTTGTCCTGGCCATGGAACAGAGGACCAGCTCTATACCACCTGCAGGGTACTAGAGGGATTATAAGGGATTGCCCCAGTCCACATGTGGTTTGTGGAAAAGGTATTTCACCATGGTGCCTTGTGGGGGGCATTTCAGGAGTATGGAGCAAGAGGCCCTTTACTATAGGCTATCCGGTCTCTGCACAAGCAGAGAAGAAGCTGGTCCGCATTGCCGGCATTAAGTCGGACCTGTTCCTGGTGCATTCTGGACTCCGCCAGTCCTACCCTCTCTCATCGGTCCAGTCCAGATTTCTAGGTGCCGAGGGGGTCTGGTTTAGGTACCAGCGGATGTCAAGCTGCTTCTCATCTAAATTCTCATCTACCCTCGGGAGGTGTCCTGGGGTACTGGGAGGAGGTCCATGGGACAACCCAGGACTTGCTGGAGTGACTAGGTCTCTCAGTTTGGCTGAAAGAGCCGCTTCCTCCAGCTTAGCTGGAGAAGGTGTCTCTGGAGAGCGAAGTCTGGGAGTCTCTACTGAGACTGCTGCCCCAATGACCCCGTCCGGGATGAAGTGGAAAAGGACAAGAAATGGTACATTTACATTTCAGGTTTTACCAGATGAAAGCTATTTGAAGGAATAAGAAGCATTTCACATCGTTGTCAATGTTTACTCTATTACAAATACAACAAAATGTCTTACTTTTTTATAGTTTAGAGTTCTATGTCTCCAATGCATAAAAATATGCTGACAGGCATCCGTCACTAAAAGTATGAATGCCCATCTGACACAAAAGCACACGCACCTGAGCACACAAACCCCAATGTGTATATGAAGTTAAATACACAGCATCTTTCATGGTTGGCTTCCTGACAATACAGATAAAAACACTACCTTGAACAGAACTTTGAGCCTTAATGAAGACAAATCATCTGGATGGCAGCCAGACCTGCACACTGAACATAACGCTGCAGCAAATCAAACTTACTGTGACCCAATGGTTCCTCTTTTATCGCCAGAGAGACAGGAAAACAAACCAATGTACAAGATCCTACAAATCTAAACCCTGCAATGGATGCCCAATGAAATCTACAGGTTTAAATGCAAAACAAAACAAGTTTAAGTAAAAGCATCTAATTCGTGCAACTAGTCTTTAAATCCCATGTAAAAGAGGAGGTCCTGGCACAGGAAGGGAGCCACCCCTTACTCTGACACGTATGACCTTCCCTTTTCAACTTCCCACACTACTTCCTGTCCTGTTTCCCCCGGCGATAATATTGTGATGTCATGAGGAAGCAAAAAAGGCAATTCCAACTATCGAGGAGTTTCCTGCGATTGAAAAGCACAGGGTAGCCTCATATGTTGCCTAAGCTGATATGAGATCAGTGGATCAACACTAGCAGCATGTGGACAGAGGGATGACCTAAGCTGAGCTTCTCAGACAGTCTAAGCAATTAATGCACTTGCTGTTCTGTGTTTTCCCTTTGGTTAAAATCCCCAAAACTTTACTGGCTGCCTGCCCAACATATGGAGTTATCCTCTGTGGGGAATGTCCTTTACTACAACGGAAACACAGAAAAGAGAAAGGACGACAGGAACACAAAGGAGCGCTGCTTCTATAAATTATTCATTCACACTCTTACCTACATACTGCACTAAAGTAATCGACATGAATAAATCCTTTCAGCTGGGGACAATTTATAGCTAGGGGTATAATAATATGTTAGTCAACATAAAAATAAGGTGGTATTTGTTTTAACTCATTGGTTAAAATGCTATTTAGGGAACTAAAAGGAAGAAGACTAAATCATAATCAACTCAGCTGTATTTTAGCCAAGACCCTGGTAAACATGCTCCATCAAGCATTCAAGTAGCATAACTTTAAGCTTCACTGGTTTAAAAACATGTGAAAAAAATCTAAGAACCTTTTGCCATCAGATTATTAGTCAATTAAAGGAAAGAATAGCGCCATATTAATCAATCTGCAAACAATCATTAGTGCTGCTCTAATAACAGTTTTGTTTTTAGAAATTTTTAGTAAAGAGAAAGTGGAGAGTGCAAACTAAAAATGAGATCTATCAAAGGCTTGCAATTTTCATAACAAGGCTGAGAAACTAGCAGTAGTGACATATCAAAGACCTTCGTGTTCATCTTCACCAGACACATGAAGCCGGAGGCTAAATCTCTGTAAAGAACCACCCTTGCTCTCTAGATTAGAGTGTGTGTGAACTTGCAAATACACACATAAAAGGACTAAAAGAGGCAGTCATGTACAATGTGACTGATTCAGGGATCTGCACATTGAAAGAACTCTAAAATGATGATTCAGAATTTCACAGGTCAGAATATACCCAAATATCCCTGTTTACATTTCCATTGATAAATTTTGTGTGATTTTGTTGTCGGCACATTCAATTTTGTACATGACAAAGTATTTAATGAGAATATTTAATTCTTTCAGATCTAGGTGTTATTAGAGTGTTACCTTTAATTTTGGACAGTTTAGTTTCAGACCAATCATGCTCTAAAGCACCTTAAAGAAAAATAAAAGTAGATTTATAGAATTTCTAAGCTTGACTAGGAAATGTATACATCTTACTGATGTTTCTTCAGACTGAGTAGTTTGTTTTTGTTATACTGTACTGTAAATAATGTATAAATAATGTGACCAAAGGAACATGTTAAACCAAGGTATGTCCAATAATTAAGATGACAGGTGTCAAAAACTTTGTAATCTATGGCTACATATAGTCACTGTGCTGTGTTGAAATGGACCGTGTCCCAACATTTGCCCTAATCCGTATATAGGGCACTATGTAGTGGTTACGCCATTTTATATGAGTGTCTGAACGTCTAGTGGTATCGAAATTTCCCACAATGCACCTTAAAAAGTAGTTATCATCCATGGTCAGTAGACAAGCAGATATATCCCTGCTATATCAATGCTTTGTGAGAGCTGTCCTTGCAAAGCATCATGGGATTTGTTGTGGCGACGAGAAAAAACAAAAATGGCGCAGGCACGGTGCGGGGAGGCGGAGATACATGACCAATAGGGAGA